GGGGAGGGAGGGTGAGTCGGCAAGCAGGCCGCGAAGGGAGGGAAGAGCTCAGGGGCAGGAGCCGAGAGAGGAATGGGAAGGGGAAAAAGGAAAGCGCAAGGCAAGGAGAAGGAAGCGAGGCCACGCACTCGAGGGACTTCGGATTACCCAGAGACACGATCAGTGTCTGCTGCCAGGAGTCGAAGAGGGTCAGGCAGGCGGAGGGCGACGAGTCGCGGACCGAGTTGACCAGGGAGAAGGCGGCGAGCATGCGCGAGCGCGGGTGGGCGCGCATGTTGGCCGAGTCCAGGTAGTAGGAGACTGTGGCAGAGGGTCGGTCAGAAAGCGCACGCAATATGGGCCACAGGGCAGAAGGGATCCTCCGAGACAGGAGGGCGAGGGGGGGGGGGGGGGGGGGGGGGGGGGGGGGGGGGGGGGGGGCAGAGTGAACGGGAGCGGACGACGAGGGGCCCAAAGTGGTATGCTTTGTTGCTGGTCACAAAACAGAGACGGACCCATCTTTGTGGAAGAGGCTTCTCCGCCATTCCCCCTCGCTCGACTGCCGACGCTTGGCCCCAACTAACAAGCGCGGACGCGGCGCGTCACAGCAGCATCCAGTCCGGTGATTCTCATTCTTCATATCACTCTCGCATCACCACGGCTGTACTGTAATCTAAGCATGTGGGGGCCTCTGCCTCAAAGGAACACAATCACCATGCATCTCCGACGTCAGTCATTCGCACACACACACACACACACCAGCCAAACCGATGATTGCAAGGACCAAAGGAAAACAGCGCTCAATTCAAGGCACAGTGATGGTCACCACAATGTGCCCATACCGGCCGGGGGCGGGCAACGGAATACACAAGGACACGATCTGATCGGATAGAAATGGGAGAGGCAAACGGGAAAGAAAGGGCCACAGTGGGAGGGAAAGGAAGAGACGGTTGAGTGTGGAGAACATATCACAGGAGCTCTACCTGGCTCTGGAGGAGGAGTTCCTCGATTTCCGCATATGTGACGGTCGAAATGCCGCCCTGAAGAAGATTCACTTCCTTGGCGCTGGAGGAGAGAGGATAGACCGTGACAGAAAAGGGGAGCCGGGTTAGATGACGATCTGATTCGGCCAATCGGGGAGGCCGTATGCGTACCCGTCTTCAATTTCGAGGGTGACACCCTCTGGAGTGAGGGCTCTGACGAATACCAACGCATCGAGGTTTGGCGTGCGGACTTGTCATCATGAGAAGACGCAGGGAAGTGGGCTGTCAGCGGGCGACCGAGGAGAAGTGGAGATAGTGGAGAGGGAGAGCAGGTCGGAAGGGGGGAGGATGGGGGGAGGGGGGAAGTGGGAGGGGGGAGAGGGACAAAGAGGAACGCACTCATGTTGGAGTGATGGGGATCCTCCAATTTGGCAAAGAGGGGCGGGAGAGCCCCGACAGCCGACGACAAGATATGCGAGTCCCAGATGGTTTGCATGCTGAATGGGGGCCCCGAGAACATGGGTCAGTGGCTCCGGAAGGGGCGGGCTGGAACAGATGCCAGTGACACCAGCGCACCGGCGGGCATAAGCACGCTCGCGAGGGGTCAAGCGCTCGCGCAGTACCGGCTGGAAGAGAATATTGTGGCAGAACTGGTTGATCTGGGAGGGACCCATTTCAAGGGGGCAAAGAGACGGGACGCCGGACAGGAGTGAGTGTCAAGCGTGGAGGGCCGCTGGCAAAGCAGCCGACATCGAACGTCAGGCTGAGGATCTATCCCGGGAAGGAGGACACACCTTGCTCAGTCGCGCTTTGACGTACGCCCGGAGGACATACTTGACGCGTTCCAAATCGGTCTGCATGATGACCGCAATGAAGGCGTCCTCGGTGCCACCGGCCTTCAGATCGTCGATAACATCACGCTGCATACATGGCAGGTTAGTGGCTTTGGGACTTCGATCGAAAGAAGGACACATGCACTCGAACCTGCTCGCGTATCGACTGGAAAAGGCGCCCGAAGGGCCCTCCAGCCCATGGGAGAATCTCCGGCGCGTGGAGCTCATTTTGCCATGCGCGCAGCATCAAGCGGAAGTCCTGCGCCCCGGGAGAGACACTTTCCTCGGAGGAGAGAGTCGCCCCGTGAGTCGCCCCAGGAAGGGCATCCGGCGGGGGAGGCTCCGCCACAGCCTCCGGCATCGGCTCAAGGAGTCCAGCAGCTCGAGCGAACTCCAACCCGATGGTATCAAGGTTGCTCAGGTCCAGCTGGCTGCCAGAGGTCGCATCTGCCGGAGTCGGGTGCTCTGCTTTGGTGTCCCCAAGCTCACCAAGGCTGGCAGGAGCACCGGGGACACCGGGCTCCATGGTTCCTGTCGATGGGGGTGCCATCAGAGAGCCGGTGGGATCGACAGATTGAAAGAGCCCAGATGGCAAGAAATTCTCCTCATCGGAGGAAAAGAGACCATGCTCATCGAGTTCGGGAAACCGGGCACCCGGGGGGCCGGACATTGTGACGAAATAACACGAAAGACGGACAAATCAGAGGAAGGACAGATGGTGGTAGGAGGAGAGGCAGGGAGGAGACCGGCTGGGGATGGGTGGAAAAGCCGAGTATAGAAAGAGGGGAGGGTGTGTGTGTGGGGGGGGGGGAGAGAGAGGGGAGAGACAGAGGAAGAGAGAGGATATATTCGGCGTCAGAAAAGGCTTACAGACCCGCGAAAGGTCGCAGTGGAGGATCTCAAGGTTTGGGGGATTCCTGGCAAGGGGGGGGGAGGGGCGGTCAATTCAAATCGGGCCAGTTCGTTGGGACTCGCTGGGTTATGCAGGCCCAACCCAACGGTTTTCCCCGAGAAATGGATGGGCATTTTGCCTACCCCGCCCCGACACCCACCCGCCCGCCCGCCCGCCCGTCCTCCTGCCCGCGACTGTCGGCAGCATTTGCAACAAGCATGGCCCACACTCACCGAACACACATGAGCAACATGCCGCCCCGCACTTTTCTCTGCTGATGTTGTACATTCACTACCCCACAAGTGAGGCGCCTACCCATCAGGACCACTGTCATGCCCGCCATCATGGTAGTTCCCGCCATCGAGGAAACGCTGCATACCGGCTGAAGGATGGGCGCTTTGGAGAGCGCTTTGGAGCTGTGCGCCGTATGCCCTCACTTGCCGGGCCATCCGTCGGAGGTCAGCCTGGAAATCGGCGATCTCACCTTCGTGTCGCGCACGTTCATCACGAAGCTACGATAGAGGGGAGAGAGAGAGAGAGAAGGAGAGAGAGAGAGAGAAGGAGAGAGAGAGAGAGAGAGAGA